TTGCCATGGCAATGTCCTGCAACACCTCAGGGTTTATACTTTATGAAGGTACTACAGCTCCCTGCCTGGGAACTGTAAATACCCCTACCTAAACTGCAAATCCCAGGATTCCATAGAGATCCATAAGGCACTAGAGCTCTCAGGAACAGAATTCTAACTACCTGCTAAAATGAAAAATTGCAAGATTCTGTTGGACGTTGCCATGGCAGTTAAAGTGGAATCGTAGTGCTATAATTGCACAGCATGAAAGAAATCTAATGATAGGTAGAATTCAGTGATGTAGCCTTGTAGTACCCAACACGCCATAGTTATGGACACCATGCACACAACAGCAACATAGTTATGTATATAACATGTGTTAGGACGGTGTATAGGGTAAGGATCTGTCAGTCGGGAAAGGGTGAATGGTCATTGGCAGAATATCTGAATGACAGTTGGTCAGGGATAAGAGAAGTATTCTTTGAGGATTAGGGATTAGGTAGAAGAGGTTTAGGGATTAGTTAGGAGTTAGTGGGGTTTAGGAGTCTGAGTGGTTAGGAGAGTTAGAGTCAGAGTCAGCAAAGAGATGAGTGTGTGAGAGAGTGAGAGATGTGATTTAGATGCATTAAATAATTAATGATTAATAATTAATTGATAATTAATTTTAAATAAATAATGAGAGTCAGCGTGGTGTCATGATTTAAGCGTTGGACTATGACTCTGGATCCCAGCTTGACGATAGAAACCCACTGGGTGGCCTTGAGCAAATCATACTCTCTCAGCCTCAGAAGAAGGCACTAGTAAATTTCCTCTATCATAAAAATGGTTATAAGTCTGAAAGCCAACATGGTGTAGTGCTTTGAATGCTGGATTAGGATGGCCAGAGACAAGGGTTTGAATCCCCTGGTGGGCCATGGAACCACAATGGGTGATCTTGTGGGAATCACACTCTCTCAGCCTCAGAGGAATGCAATGGCAAGCCCCGTCTGATTTATGCTTGCCAACAAAACCCCATGAGAGGGTTGCTTTGGGGTTACCATAACCTAGAAACAAGAGGAAGGCACACAAACATATTCTGGAAGGGTCCTTTCCATTTGGTTCCATTGAGGAGGACACCAAAGTGTCTTCTTGTTGTGTGCCTTCAAGTCATTTCCAACTTAAGGTGGGATTTTCTGGGGCCGAGAATATGTGACGTTCCCAAGGTCACCCAATGGGTTTCCATGGCTGAGTGAGGAATCAAACCCTGATCTCTGGAGTCATAGTCCAACGCTCAAACCACTATACCGCATTGCCTCTCTCACCTCGATGACAGAAAAGATGAGAAAAAAGAGCAGTTGAAAGAAGGATCACCCTTAAATCGTGTTAACAATTGTAGGTATGTGACGAGGAGGAGAGAAATCATAGAATCTGTAGTATTTTGGTAAATCATTTCATCCATCTCAGGGATGGGACTTGGTCCCAAAATTCCTGAGATTAGTCAGCCTTTGGTTTACTCAGTCGTGTGAGGGCAGGGTCCCCTTCGCTTGGATATTGCCAAAGTTTCTAATAAAGGATCTGTATTTTGGGAGGGTTGGGCTTTTCCTGGCAACAGACAATCCAATGAAAGAATGGAGCACCCTCCCAAAAAGCCTGGGGCCTTCAAGCCAAGCCGGTCATTAACTGTCAGGAATTTCCCTTCCCATAAATCATTATTGGGCCTTAATCATTCTCCGGCAGCTCGGCTTTGGCCCCATTCAATTCCCCCGGCCTGTCTGGAGCGCCCTTGTATCCGAAAAACAGCTGGGTCAGCCCCCCAGTTCTCAAACTCAGTGGGTTCTACTGGTACGGGAATCCACGCCGATCAACACACAATATGTGTTTCACTTTTGTATGACTAAAATGTTGAAGACCATACTCAGCGTATCTCAGAAAGCATGCATTCCCCTCACATTTCTTGGAAAATGTTTAAAGTCTTTACTCTTTTCACATTTTCCCAAGAAAGTTCAGAAAAGCGGAGGCAAAAACCAACAACTCTTTTCTCAATACAGAGGTTGCATCTGCACTGCAGAAATCAAGCCGTTTGACACTGCCATGGTCCAGTGGTATGGAATGCTGGGATTTGCAGTTTTATGAGATAGCCAGCCTTCTCTGTCAGAGAGCTCTGGTGTTCCAACAAACTACAAATCCTAGGATTCCAGATCATTGAGCCACAGATGTCAAGTGATGTCAAAGTGCATTATTTCTGCAGTGCAGATGAAGTCAGAATTATAGTAATTTGGTTCCTCCTTCCTCTGCCCTGGCTCCATCTTATGGGATTTGTAGTTTGGTGAGGTATTGAGACTTCTCTGCCAAAGAGCGCTAGTGCCTCCACCAAACTATAAGTCCCAATATTCCATATGATGGAGCCATGGCAGAAAAGGGGGTATCAGTCTAGGATTTCATAGCAACCATGGCCATTGATGATGCTTGCTGAGGATTCCTATTCTATTTCTATTCCTCTCAAAGCAATTTTTCCAAACTTTTCATGCTCTGGGGAATAGCCTGTCTTGGAGAAAACCTTGCTTGCTCACTATCTAGGTCTCAGGCAATTGTACTATGTCCATTGTCCAGTTCTGGGCACAATTCAAGAAAGATCTGGACAAGTTGGAGCGTGTCCAGAGGAGGGCGACCAAAATGGTGAAAAGTCTGGAAACCACCAAGCCCTATGAGGCGCGACTTAGGGAGCTGGGTATGTTTAGCCTAGAGAAGAGGAGGTTAAGAGGTGTGATATGATAGCCCTCTTTAAATATTTGAAGGGATGCCATACTGAGGAGGGAGCAAGCTTGTTTTCTGCTGCTCCAGAGAACAGGACCTGGAGCAATGGATGCCAACTATGGGAGACGAGATTCCATCTCAGCATTAGGAAAAACTTCCTGAGGGTAAGAGCTGTTTGACAGTGGAAGACACTGCTTTGAAGGGTGGTGGAGTTTCCTTCTTTGGAGGGTTTTTTTAAATATTAAATAAATTTTATTATTAAAAACACAGAAGTACACTCAAATAATCCACCATTCCAAATACAATCAAATCCCTATCCTAGTCAAAAAAGATCATAAATCCAGTATCTATTATCTATTGGTTGATATCAATTATCTATTCATCACATCTGTTAAAATAACATAAATAGATTATAACAACCTCAACACTTTTAGATTACTCTGATTTTCTCAAGATACCATCGTAGGAAGTTTCTTTCTAATTTTCTTTTCTTTTCCTTTCTTGATTCCAACCATCCTATCTTTCAGGCTTTATCTCTCTCCTACTTCTCTTCTTTTATCACTCCATATTTCTCTTCCCTCTTCCCTTCCTCTTTCTAAGTTCTTCTTTGGAGGTTTTTAAGCAGAGGTTGGATGGCTATCTTTTTGAGGGAGCTTTGACTGTATCTTCCTGCATGGCAGAATGGAGTTGGACTGGGTGGTCCTTGGGGTCTCTTCCAACTCTAGGATTCAGTGATTCTATACCATTAAAGATGTAGGAGCTGCTGAAAAAAGAAAGGTAGCAACTGTATACAAGGATAACCTCCGGTGGAATGGAGATTCCAGGCCTTGGGCTTTCATTGCAGAATCACGTTTTTTTCCCCATTTAATGACAGTGAAAGATATAATAAAAACCAAATGGTGTTGATATCATCAGCTTTATGATTCTATGAATTTATAGCCCTATGAGATCATTGTATCATGGGCTTCTGAGCAATTAAAATAATGATTAAAAAAAAAGTATTGTCCAAGAGCAGTATGTTCCATCAACTGCAAGATGTTTCATTAGCATCTCCTACCAACAGTAGGTTTAGTGACTTTAGAAAGATCTTGCCCTAAGCATTTTCCATCCTCCTCTCACTTTCTACACTTCCTAAGAAAGATAGATTCATATTATTTCCTTACCTGCTCTGACACAAAGAAACCCACAATTGTATAGAATGAGTCATAATATCTGAAGAGTAGTCAAGTAGAACATGGGGTGGGCTTTGGGGTGGTGGTTGTTTCCCCCCCCCCCAGCTCCCAATATAAACCAGTGGATTCAAATGAAAAAGGGGGAAAAGATTCTGAATAAACCTGAGAATGATCATTGCTGTTTCACCTTTTTGTTGTTAACGGCCCTCAAGTTGATCTCGACTCATGGTAGTCCTATGGACGAGACATCTCCAAAAAGACCCCCTGTCCTCCCCTGCTCTGCTTAAATCCTGCAACCCAATACCCAAAATGACCTCCTTAATAGAGTCCATCCATCTAGCATCTGGCCTTCCTCTCTTCCTACTTTCCTCCACCTTTTCCAGCATTATTGTCTTTTCCAATAAGTCCTCCTTTTTCATGATGTGTCCGAAGTATGACAATTTGGTCATCTTGGCTTCCAGGGAGGTTTCTGGCTTGATCTGCTCTAGGACCCCTTTGTTTGTCCTTTTGGCTTTCCATGGGATCCTCAGCCCTCTTCTCCAGCCCCACATTCTCTCAAATGCGTTGGTTTTCCTCCTATCTTCTTTCTTGACTGTCCAGCTCCCACATCCATCCATGGCTTGTATGATTCTAACCTTTGTGTTTTGTTTATCTTTGCATTTTAGGATCTTTTCTAGTTCTTTCATAGCCACCCTCCCCATTCTTAGTCTTCTTCTGATTTCCTGACTGCAGACCCCATTTCTATGAATGTTTGATCCCAGGTATGGGAATTCTTTTACTATTTCTATTTCTCCATTGTCTAGGTTGAACTTGGGAGGGTCCTCAGTGGTCCTTATTTTTGTTTTGTTTTTTATGTTCAACAGTAAGCTTGCCTTTTCACTTTCTTTGATCTTCCTTAGTAGATGTTCCAGGTCTGTGAGTTTTCTGCTAGTACTATGGGGTCATCTGCATATCTCAGATTGTTGATATTCCTTCCTCCTATTTTCACTCCTTCTTCTTCTGTGTCCAGACCTGTTTTTCTAACAATATGTTCTGCATACAAGTTGAACAGATCGTGTGAAAGGATGCAGCCTTGTCTGACCCCTTTGCCAATTGGGAACAATTCTGTTTCTTCATCTTTTGTTCTGACAGTAGCCTCTTGTCCTGAGTTCAGATTCCTCATCAGGACTATCAAATATGTTGGCACTCCCATGTCTTTAAGGGCGCTCCATAGCCTTTCACAATCTATGAAGTCAAAGGCTTTGCTATAGTCTATAAAGCACATGCTGGTGCGCTCCATTAGCTATTGTATGGTCCCTGGTGCCTCTTCCTTTCCTGAACCCAACTTGGACCTCTGAGATCTCTCTCTCCATGTATGGTTGGAGTCTATGTTGCAGAATTGTGAGCATGATTTTGCTTCCATGGGAGATTACTGCTATGGTTCTATAGTTGCTGCAGTCTCTTTTGTCTGCCTTTTTGTGGATGGGGATGTATATTGATGGCTTCCAATCTGTTGGCCATTGTTTTATTTTCCATATCTGTTGACATATTTTGGTTAGGAATAGAGTTGACTCTGTCAATGTGGATTGCAGCAGTTCAATTGGAACTGTCCCTGTTTTGTTTTTTTTGTTTTGTTTTTTTGCTATTTCTCTTATTGTAGTTTCCACTTAACTTTTTAGAATTTGTTTATTTTTTAGAATTTGTTTCACTGTGGAATGGTCCATTTTGGAAGGTGGTAGACTCTCCTCTTCATTGGAGGTTTTGAAAGAGGGATTGGATATACACCTCAAGGTTGACAGTAAACAACTGTGGTTTCCCACCTTGGAAGCAGATTAGACTAGATTGCCCTAACGGTAACATGAATACAACAAACATTGCTAAGGATTCTGTATGGTGTGGTATAGGAGAAGGTCAGTGAGGGGACTGACATCATGAGTTACCACACCAGGTAATGCCAACCCTAGAGATGCCACTGGATGTGGTGTTTTTGTTCTGGGATTGGGACTCCACAAGAGCAGGATCTGTATCTTCACTCAGCTACAAAAATCCAGTGGCTGATTTTGGGCAAATCACATTCTCTCATCCTTGGAGGAAGGCAATGGCAAACCTCCTCCAAGAAAACCCTAGGAAAGGATCAGAGTTGATTTGAAGGCACATAGCAGCAATAGGTTGAGAATTTTCAATCAGAGAACCCTGATATTGCACCAAACTTCAAAAAAACAGGGTTCCAGAAGATGCCACCTTGTTCGCCAAAATGGAAGAATAGCACTATAATTGCACAGTGTGAAAGATCTGAAGAAAAAATCACAAGAGCCTGAACCTGCCCAGAATGCTAAAAAGGCAATGCTGGATTTGGAGGTACAGTTGTCCCTCTGTTTTCATGGACTTGAGGTCTGTGACCCTTGCTTATCCATGAAGGATGAATGGAGGGGCACAAAATGGGGGACGCGTTTTGTGCTTTCAAGTAGTTTCTGACTTATGGTGACCCCACCATGAGGTTTTCTTGGCAAGTTGCTTCAGAGAGCGTTTGCCATTGCCATCCTCTGTGGCTGAGATATTGTGACTTGCCCAAGGTCACCCAATGTGTTTACATGGCTGAGCTGGGATTTGAACCCTGGGCTCCAGAATCATTGTCCAGTGCTCAAACCACTACATCACACTGATTCGTTGGTGTCTTATCCATGCATAAGTTCCTTCAGGGAAGCAGATGGACATTTTTTGTGCAATGTGGAATGTCTGTGTTCAGTTCAAGATTACCCAAGTGGATTTGCACATGCGCCGCAACTCCATGATGCACATGGGCATTTGGGTTATGCATTCAGTTGTTCAGCACTGACATTCAAGACAAGGGGTTGTGTGGCACAATCAAATAAATCACTTATCTCTCAGCCCCAGTGTTCCTTAGTGATGGCATAGAAGCATTAATTGATTGCTTTTCATTATGTCTTTGTGCAACTCTGGCACCAGTTGTAGAATTTTGTGTTTGATTCTCTGATCAGCAATAAGATTGTAGTTGCTTGCGGGCATATTAAGGGCATTATGCTTATATTTGCTCCTGCTGCAGTCTCTGATCTGGAATAAGATTGTATGTGCTTAAGGACATAATCCCTCAAGTTTATATAAGATAGGGCCTTTGCAGACTGCCAGAAATAGTGCAAATTGAGTCCACTTTCACTGCCCTGGCTCAGTGCTAGGGAATCATGGGAATTGTATTTTTTCTGATACATTGAGCCTTCTCTGTCAGAGAGCTCTGGTGCCACAATAAACTACAGTTCCCATGATTCCCTAGGACTGAGCCAGGGCAGTTAAAGTGGACTCAATTTGCACTATTTCTGGCAGTCTGCAAAGGCCCATACTCTACTTCTATAGACTTGCGCTGAAATCTCTGATCTGTACTAACATTGTACTTATACCTGAATACAATCTCAATTCATGGTTCATGGCGAATGGGATATAATTGGCTCCAGTCCCCCACAAAACCACCATTTCCATCCAGTTTTGTCTCTTGAGCCCTGTTTTTGCACTTGTCTTTGGCTTCTGGAACTTGGACCAAAGAAGATATTATACACCCTAACATTTCACAAATGAAAACTGTTAAATGGAAGAATGAGATTCATTTGTCATTTGTCCATGTCTGTTTCAGTATTTTCATTTTTTCAGAATTCCTGAAACATTAATACATTCTGTCATCAAACAATTGGATTATCTGCTTGGAAATTTGGAATGTTCAATTGGAAAATAGTTGGGTTGCTTACTTCTAAACCTGTTCTCTTGGATTCTTGTGTTACTGTTGTTGCTGTTATTGTGGTTGTCGCGCTCCTTCAAATCATTCCCGACACACGGAGTTTCCATGGGGTTTTCATGGAAAGATTTGTACAGAGGAGGTTTGCTATTGCCTTCCTCTGAGGCTGAGAGAGCCTGACTCGCCCAAGATCACCCAAGGGGTTTCCATGGCTGAGTGGGGATCCGAACCCTGCTCTCCAGAGTCCAGCATGCTGGCTCACAGTATTCTGAATAGCCCTTCTTAAACTTCACATTCCAGGATTCCATGGGATGTTTCCATGACAATTACAGTGGATTCATAACACTATAATTGTGTAGTCTGAACGGGCCCCAGCACGACAGGTAGGGGGTGCCAGTGGTTGACCACAGGCCAGCAAGGTAAGTACCTGTGGATGAGGGTGATAGGTTTAGGCAGAACAGAAACTGGACTCCTAGCTGTCCATGAAGGGGAGTGATTTGAGGAAGGGGATTTTCTCCTGCTCCCCTCCCTGCCTGACTTTCTGCAAGCCAGGAAGAGATCTGCTGCCCGGAGCAGTTGTCCTAGTTGGTCCAGCTGCCCCGCTGCCAGTGGTTAGGAAGGTGGGCAGACAGGGAAGAGGGAGAGGAAGGCATCCATGCAGTGGGCAGGTGGGGAAACCAGGGGCATTTGTTGTTGCTGCATGCCTTGAAGTCATTGCCAACTTATGGCAACCCTAAGGTGACCTTCTCTTGGGGTTTTCTTGGCAAGATTTATTCAGAGGAGGTTTGTCCTTGCCATCCGAAAGTGCGTGACTTGCCCCAAGTAGGTTTACATGGCCAAGCCAGGATTCGAACCCTGGTCTCCAGAGTCATAGTTCAACATTCAAAGCTTGGTGGTGGAATCTGGTAGAAACAGATGTGCAGTGGGCAGGTAGGGAAACAGTAGGCATACTCCCCAAGAATTCACAAACAAAAGCCGGGACAGGCATGGCCATGCAGTATTAGAGTGAGGTCCAAAAAGCCATCCAGGCAACAAGAGGGTAAAACAGAGCACCCCAAGCTACTGTTTTAAGGAGAGAAATCCTGGCATATCATGCCCTTGTTGAAAGAGCTCCAGTGGCTGCCAGTGTGTTTCCGGGCCCGATTCAAAGTGCTGGTGATGACCTACAAAGCCCTTTATGGCCCAGGTCCAGGCTATTTGGCAGATCGTACCCCCCCCCCCCCCCCCCTGTATGAACAGGACCAGGCTCTGAGACCACCACCATCACAAGCATGGTTGGTAGGGATGCCAGAGAGGGCCTTCTCAACGGCTGCCTCCAGACTCTGGAACTCGCTTCCCAGGGAGGCCAGAACGGCCCCCTCCTTGTCTTTCCATCAACAGGCTAAAACCTCTTCATTCACTTTTAAAAACAGAAAGTTTTAAAAGAATGGGCTAGGGAGCGCTGAAATGTTTCCACAACTGCATTTAAGAGCTTTTCTCTTTTTTAACATTGCATTGTATTCTATTATTGTGTGATTTGTTTTAATACTGCCATACTTGAATTCTATTTTAATGCCCATTTATTTCCTATATGTTTTTAAATTGTATTGCGCTTTTAAATTGTAAGCTGCTTTTTGTGAGGTTATCACTCTTTATTTTTTAATAAAAATAAAACAAAAAATGAATAAATTGCAAGCCGCTTTGAGTCCCAATTTTGAGGGGAAAGCAGGATCATCATCATCTAAAATTAGGAGAACTTGAACCAAGAAAAACTGAAAGAAGCCCACTGGAAAGGGCAACACTCCACCACATCTTCTCCTTGTTAACTGAGCTGTTGTTGTTTGCCTTTGCGTCATTTCCAATTTACGACAACCCTAAAGTGTATCTAGGACAAGGTTTTCTTGGCAATATTTCTTTGGCTAGAGGGTGCCTTTCCCTTCCCCTGAGGTGGAGAGATTGTGACTTGCCTAAGGTCACCCAATGGGTTTCCATGGCTGAACAGGGATTTGAACCTCGGTCTCCAGAATTGTAGTCCAGTGCTCAAACCACTACACCCCACTGGCTCTCTGTCAACTGAGCAATCTAGGTTTTTTTTGCTTTGAACTCAGTTTGCAGTTATTGCAGGATGCTAAGGACAGATGGAGAAGGTGGGAGGAAAAGAGGGAAACTGGGACGCTTTAAAACCAGCTGAAAATGTAGGATGTCATAGGACGAATCGGGGACATCCCTGCCGAACTGTGAGTACGGGGAGAATCTCTAATGCTTACAGCACCCAAGAAGCTTTTCCTATGGTCAGAAAGAAAAAAAAAACATGCAACATTGTCCCTTTCTAGGGACATGTACAGTGGTATCCACTGGGTTTGGTTCCAGGACCCCCCATGGATACAAAAATCCATGGATGCTCAAGTCCCATGATATACAGTGGCACAGTAAAATGGTGTCCCTTATAGAAAATGGTAAAATCAGGGTTTACTTTTGGGAATTTAATATTTTTTTTTGGAATATTTTCAAGCCATGGATAGTTGGATAGTTGGATAAAAAAAAATCCATGGATAAGGAGGGCTGGCTGTACTACTGTTTCCATCCACACCGATCAGTCCTTCTTCAAGTCAAGAAGAAATATCCACCTTCTTCATAACACATCCCTGAAAATATGATTGTGCTTTTTATTAATTCTTTCTTCTCGCCGCTGCCCCCCCACAACATTCTTTATCATATTGAAGTTGATGGCTTTGATTTTGGCAGGGGGGAGAGAAAGAAATGAGAGAAAGAGAGAGAAGGAGAGAAAGAAAGAGATGGAGAGAGACTGTTTGCAGTGGTTTGCTGGCATAGATCTCCTAATTGGAATACGCCCCTTGGATATTTGAAAATTGGCCCAGATATGGTCTTTAATGAATAACACTTTAATTAAATTTTTACATATTAAGCATGCAGGAGTAGAAATGGTTTAGGGAACTGGCACAAGCATTAATCATGTACAAGTGAGTCAGTCTGAGGAGGCATACATTAGGAGGGCTGAGGAAACACCCTTCCCTTTGAAGAAGATGTAAAGGATGCTGGAAGAGGGAGGCGGATAATTAAATGGAGATGGATACAAATGATAGGCGATAAAGTCGGGGGGGGGGAACAGTCAGAGAAGGAAATGTAGCGAACCGCAAGGGGATGCCACAAAATCCGAGGACAAGAGGTTCCTGCATTGAGTGACATTCCCCGATTGAGCTCCAGAAGGGATCAAGTGGTGGATCTGCAGGCCCATTGGTGGACCAGTTGGACCAGAGTGACCATGAGGATCCGTGTGGTTCGTGGGCAGATCTAGGAGGTGGAAAAGTAGATTATTCACCAGCTCAGATGTCTTCTAATTAGCTGGCATCCCAGTTAAATATTGCTTAGTCTTCGCTACTCTCACTGACCACTCCTTTTCTTAATTTTTTTAATTGGGTGATAGAGTAAAGGTAAAGGTTTTCCCTTGACCTGAATGTCTAGTCGTAACTGTCTGTAAGGGTCAGTGCTCATCTCCATTTCTGAGCCAAAGAGCCAGCGTTGTCCGAGGACTGCTCCAGTGGTCGTGTGGCCAGCATGACTGTACCAAACACTGTTACCTTTCCACCAAAGCGGCACCCGATTCATCCTATGGCATCCCCCATTTTCAGCTGGTTTTAAAACGTCCCAGTTTCCCTCCCACCTTCCCCATTTGTCCTTAGCATCCTTCAATAGCTGCAAACTGAGGTACTTATTTATCTACTTGCATTTGCATGCTTTTGAACTGCTAGATTGGCAAAAGCTGGGACTAGTGATGGGAGCTCACTCCGTCACGCACTGTTTGGGTCTCGAACTGCCAACCTTCTGACCTTACAATCGTCAGAACTGGCATCTTACTGGGACAAACATTTTATAGTACAGTGGTATCTGCTGGGGGTTATATTTTATTTTTTTTATTTCAAGGATTTATATCCTGCCTTTGGGGGGATGCAGACGAGGGCGTCCAAAACGCCCTGGTCCGCAGCGCCGCGGGGCCAAGGCAGCCTCACCGCGGCGCTTCTCCGCCGAATCTAAAAGGAGCGCCAAATTGGCGCTCCTTTTAGATTTAAGGGAAAGTGCGCCCCAAAAGCGGCGGGCGCACTTTCCCTGACTCAAACGCTGCGGCGAGTGCGGTCGCCGCGGCGTGAGGTCAACCCGGAAGCGCCGGCCGTGCGGATGGCCGGCGCTTCCAGGGGCGACCTCAGGAAGAGGAAGGGGCGCCGAACGTGCGGCTGCCCCTCTTCTTCCCTGCCCGGAAGACGACTCTATTAGTCGTCTGCCGAGGCAGTTTCTCCCGCAATGGGATTCACAATGGGTTTGGTTCCAGGACCCCCCATGGATGCCAAAATCCATGGATGCTCAAATACCATTAAATACAGTGGCATAGTAAAATGGTGCCCCTTATATAAAATGGCAAAAATCAAGGTTTGCCATGGGGAATTTATATATTTTTGGAGCATTTTCAAGCTGTGGACACTTGAATCTGTGGCCAAAGAATCCATGGATATGGAGGGACAACTGTATGTTTAATGTAGAAAAATGTATGCCAGTGTCCTCATTATTGTGTAATAGACAGCTGGAACAATGGCCAGACCCCTACCACACACAACATTGGTGTAACAGTTGTGTAACAGTTGCATAGCAGTCAAAAGTGAGGGGGGGGACTCAAGTGTCTTTGTGAAATGTTTGGCTGCACAAGAGATCACATGCATACAACCTCTGAGAAGGTGCAACTCCTTGCACGACTATTGTTATGGTAGCCTAGTGCCCCAACAAAATTTGGGTCATAGACTCATAGAGTTGGAAGAGACCACAAGGGCCATCCAGTCCAACTCCCTGCCATAATATTGTCATGGGAAGACAAGGCTTCTGGTGGCAACTAGTCATAATGGCCGTGTTTTCCCGAATATGGATCCATCTACCCCTGAATATCAGATGTTGGATGGTGTGACTGGGAGGATGCTGTTCCACATTCATATCCTGCTAGTGGGCTTCCCATTGAGATTCAGGAGGCAACTGCGGCAACAGAATACTGGGCTCGATTGGCCTTTTATCTCTCTTTTCTCTTTGTCTCTGTTCTCTCTTTAGGGCTCTTTTTCTATAATTTACGGACTCTTTGCAGACCACAACCATGATCTTTTCTGCATACTTCTTGGCTTCAGGCCAGCATGGCACAGTGATGTGAGCTAAGTTGGGCTAAGACTCCAGGAAACTAAGATTTAAATCCTCACTCAGCCACGGAAACTTGCTGGGTGACTTTGGGCAACTCACACCCCCTGAGCCTCAGAAGAAGGCAATGGCAAACCTCCTCCTAATAAGTCTTGCCAAGAAAAGTCTAAGATGTGGTTGCCATAAGTCAGAGTCAGACTTGAAGGCATGCGACAACAGTAACTTCAGTGGAGGTCAGCAACTTGTCCTTCTAAAAATTCTTGCAGGCTAATTTGGACTATGCTAGACTAGCGAGTCAACATTGTATAATGGTTTCAGTGGACCCTAAAGACCAGGGTATGAATCCCTATAAAGCCATGGAAACCCTTTGGATGACTGTGCAAGTCCCACTCTCTCAGCCTCAGCGAAATGTAAAGGCAAACCCACTCTGAACAAACCCTTTCAAGAAAACGGTGTGATATGTTTGCCTTCAGGGCTCCATCAGCTGGAAAGGAATCAATTTCAGTTTCCTTTGATTTCTCATTTTTCTCCAGTACTTCCATTTGTTTCATGGAATTTCAACACTGGTTTACAATTTTCTTTAAAAGTTTTTGATTAATCTGTATTTTGCTGGGTCCCCCCCCCCCCCATGTATGCACATTTTGTATGCATCTAATGCATCTAAGAGATGCAGTTTTGCAAACAATTTCACCTGATACACTGTTTTTAGCATATCATCCCCTACCCCCACCCCAATATTTCCATCTTTGTGTGTAGCTTTCCCTAGTATAACCTTTTATAAATACATTTTTGTCCACAGAATTGCATTGGAAAATTCAGAATAGTGGCATAGTGGTTTAAGAGTTGGATTCTGACTCTGGAGACCAGGGTTCGATTCCCACCTTGTCCGTGAAACCCACTGGTGACCTTGGGCAAATCACATGCTCTCAGCCTCAGGAGAAGCCAATGGCAAACCTCTGAACAAATCTTGCCAAGAAAACCCTATGATAGGTCCCTCTTAGGGTCACCATAAGTTGGAAATGACTTGAAGGCACACAACAACAACCATAAAGTAATGTAGGATACCCAAGTTATCCTGAGGATGCTGGAACACATCAGCTAAAGGGTTGGGGTATCTTCTTTTGCTCTCAGTAATAAGTTTACCTATATAGTTTACCTTATAGTGGTCATACCATTGTAGCAGCTTTGAGACAAACTATACATAGAGATCCATGCATCTGTGGAAGTAGACCAAGTCTAAAAAGGTTTATGCTACAACTGCTTTCACACAGTTAGTTTCAAAGGTGCTACAAGAAAGCCTACGACTTCACATTGCTACAAGATCACTTAGCATGCTATTATTCCAGACTAACAAGGCTATCTCTCAGAATTATAGTAGTCATGTGTGCCATTTTTTTGGTGTCCAGCGAAGTAGCTTAAAACTGCAGCCATTTCTAGTTCAGAACTTCACCACTCCTGGTGTATCAGGTGGCATATGAAAAAGAGCTTTAGCTGAGAAACCAACAATTTTTGGCTCCTCTCTGCCATGGGGCCCTTTCATTTCCAGCTGGTATGGACTTTTGCCACCAAAAGCAAGTGCCTGGATTTGCTTTTTTCCACTTTTCCCTTTGCATCGCACTTCCTCATGTGCGATGTTCCCTGATCTATGAACTATTGTGAACACACACCACTTTTATACCACCAGAAATGAATCAATTAATTGCAGGAGCTTGAGGAAATTAATTGTCAGGACTCACTTTCAGGAGAACAATGTCTCTCTCTCTCTCTCTTTCTTTCTCTCTTTCTCTCTCTTTTTCTGTGTGTATAAGTCAAGCCCTTGGGAACAACCCTGAGCTTCAGCCATCATTTGAAAGCGGACTGGTTAGACATTCCCCCAAAAAGGCAGGTTACGACCTGTGACCTTTCGATGAGAAATTGTTGCCTTTTAGGATGTGTTAGGAGGTCCATCCTTTTCATCCCAGGCGTGTTTCTCCTTGCTGTGGGAGGCAATGACACCAGTATATCATTAACTCGCAGAGAAAAGGGGGCCCTTAAAAAACACTTGATGGGGGACTTTAGCCTGTACCCCGCTGGGGTCTGCTCCGAGCACAATATCCCAGAGACCAGGAGATTAAGCGAAAGAGAAAAAAATGAAAATGCTTTTCACCATTCACACGCCCTTTAGATTGTTTTATTAAACCATTTGAATAGGGATTTCCCTTTCGGCCGGCGACGGGGCCCGGCCAACGCATAGTTCTAGGTTGCTATGACTGGGTTGGTTCCTGCTAATCAGTGGCAAGGGCAAACTTCATATAAAATATCTGGGGCCATTGTTGGACTAACGCACCGTGACACCTTCCGGACAAAAGGGGATTCATTCCCCCCAGCAGGTAATAAGGACGACTTGCCATACCAACCAAGCCGGGCTGTCAAGAGAAATCATGCCAAGGGAGATGGAGGCCTTGCATTCCATTCTCAGGTAGGCCAAGAGAGGGGACGATCCTTTTGTGAGAGCACAGCCTACTGATCACAGAAGATTGGAGGGGGGAGTTCGGGGTCCATCGGATGGGAAGGGAGGGACAGAGGTTTGGATGGTTGCTTGGGGGGGGTGCATCTTTCTCTATGCGTGCGTGTTTAAGTTGGTGGGAAGACCTTAGAAAGACAGCTTCTCATGGTAATAAGATCAGGCGGCTTAGCTAGTTTGGCCCTTTCTACCAGGCAGAGGGGTTTTAGAGTCCCTGTTGTTGTTGTGTGCCTCCAAGTCATTTCCAATGCTATCGTTGTTGTTGTGTGCCTTCAAATCATTTCCAACTTATGGCAACACTAAGGTGACCCTTACATAGGGTTTTGTTGGCAAGATTGGTTCAGAGGAGGTTAGCCATTGTTGTTAATTGCGGTCAAGTTGACTTCGACTTATGGTGACCTCACGAATGAGAGACCTTCAAGTCCCTCTATCCTCAACAGCCCTGCTCAGGTCTTGCAAACTGTGGCTCTGTAGATTGTGTCTATCCATCTGTAGGGTGGCCTTCCTCTTTTCCTACTGCCTTCTACCTTACTCAACATTATTCTCTTTTCTAGTGAGTCCAATATTTTCATGATATGTACATAGTATGAAAATTTCAGTTCAGTCAGCTTCTAGGGAAAATTCAGGCTTGATTGGTTCCTGGACCTATTGATTTATGTCCTTTTGGCAGTCCATGGTATTTGCAGAGCTCTCTTCCAGCACCATATTTCAATGCTTTCCTATCAGCTTTCTTCACTGTCTGGCTTTCACAACCATACATAGAAGTCCGAGCAAGCAAAATGTGAATTGTGGGCTGCATGAAGCCTTTGAGACCCCCAAAATGGAGCTCTTGAACACCCCCAAAAAACATCCAGCCCCTTTGTTCCTATTTTCAGGTGATTTTTCACTTGAAAAGCAGCCCAAACCAAGCTACAAATACATCATTTTACATTATATCCGGAACCCCAGCCCCCCAAAAAGCTGAAAATTGGCCACAATGGCAGATAAAAGTGATGTCACATCCAGATTGCTGAAATTCCACGATGCATCCTGCTGGAAGTGGGCAATGGTGCCCCAGCCCTCCACAGTTGCCCACTCTTGGTGTAGCCAAATGGGTGCCATTTTTTGGCCTTTCTGGGGTTTTGGACTTCTAATTCCAGAAGCTTCTTTCAGCATGACCAACAATCAAGGCCTTAAGTAACTGAAGTCTCAAACATATGGTGATCCCAAAATGAAGCATCTCAATTTTGTAGCCTAGTGGTTCTCAAACGGTGGGATGGAACCCCAAGGAAGTGTCAGAGTTGCTCAAGGGGGGCACAAGACTTGGGGACTCCGATTCGTCCTCCTCTTCTCAAAAGTTTTTATGTATTAAATTTATATATTTGCTGTTTTTGTGTGCCTTCGAGTCATTTCCAACTTATGGCGACCCTATCATGAGGTTTGCTTGGCATGATAGGGGAGGTTTGCCACTGCCTTCCCCTGAAGCTGAGAGCATGTGACTTGTCCAAGGTCACCCCGTGGGTTTCATAGCTGAGCTGGGAGTCAAACCCTGGTTTCCATAGTTGGAGTCCAACACTCAAAACCACTACCATTGAGCTAAATATTGAATTTACTTAAATAAAACTTTTCTAATTTGAATGATGTTATTTCCTTATAAAATGTTAAAATATGAATATGCATGAGTATGGGAATGAAAATATGCACACTAAATAAACAAAATATGTGTATTCATACATTACGTCAAGTAGGGGCAGAGCACAATGTCCGCATGTAGATGTAAGAGAGGGTCCCAAGGGTAAAAATCTGAGTACCACTGGTGTAGATGGACCAATGGCACATTACAAGCAAACTTTCCTTGTTTCTGTTTATTTAGCTTGATCCTGTAACCCACCAATCATATTTAACAGCCGGCCCTCCAGTTTTGCATTTGATTTGATTATTCACATATTTGAATAAATATGTTATTTCTAGGTCCTCCAGCACAATTCTATGGAGCCCTTTGTAGACCCTCCAGCACAATTCTACAGTCAACTTCTTCTGACAGCTGTTGCCCATAGAGTTGTGCTGGAGGACCAATAGATTCCTAGAGAGGTGTTCTCTCAGATTATAAAAAGTACTTTTTTTGTTTTGGTTTTGTCTTTTTGCAGTTTTCCCACTTTCACAGGGAGGGCTCTGCATCCCTAACCTCAGCAAATGTGAAGGGACCACAGTAATTGGAAATGGGCTTCACAATCGTATGCACCCATGTCCTTGAAAAAACCTTCCTCTATCCCATCTTCAGTGAATTGCCTTTATGTATTCCTGGCATGCATTCCCCTCTTAATAACTTTCCCACAATTATTTGAATGGGTGTTTAGCTGATGCAAGCAGTTTATCAGATGTGGCTTCAAACAGGACAAGTCCCTGTTAAACATCTCAGACTGTTCCGAAGACAACCAGAGACCAAGCTCAATCACTGCACAATGCTTACTCAGAATGGCATAGTCCTCTAGATATTGTTGAACTACATATCCCAACATTTTACACTATTGACTATGCTGGCTAGGACTGCTAGCTAGGACTGCTGGAAGTTATAGTCCTACAACATCTGGAGAAGCACCCGATTCCTACCCTTGCCTTAATCCCATGCAGGTCTCTCTGGTGTACTATTTGATACATATGTATATGACAAGAAGGGTTGTCAGATTTCAGGGCCTGGACTGAATCTCAGGCAAAGGGGAAGGAATTTCAGGGTGAGAGCACCATCTTGAAAGATAGGCAAATATATTTATATATATTCCTCATTTGTTAGATGTGATGGCTTTTGTTTTTATTATTTGAATAGTACACTGTGTGCTACTGTAGTATTTTGTATCAGGATATCATGCTTAGATAATATCATCAAGGTCTGTTTTTTGTAACATCACAAGGAGGTTTCATGAAATCATAGAATCATAGAATTGGAAGAGACCCCAAGAGCTTTCTCATCTATTAAGGTCTTATTGAATTTTGATCCTGTCCTCTGGGGTATTAGCTATTCCTCCTAATTTGGTGTCATCTGCAAATTTGGTAAGCATGTCCCCTATTCTTTCATCCAAGTCATTGATAAAGATGTTGAATAGCCCTGGGCCCAGGACAGAACCCCACTGGACACCCCACTTCTCTCCAGGATGAAGAAGAGGAGCCATTGCGGAGCACCCTTTGGGTTCAGTCAATCAAACAATCACTAATCCACCTAACAGTTGTATTGTCTAGCCCACATTTTACTATCTTGTTTGCAAGAATATCGTGGGGGACCTTGCCAAAAGCCTTACTGAAATCAAGATATGCTATGTCTACTGCATTCCCTTCATCTACCAAGCTGGTAATTTTATCAAAAAAGGAGATCAGATTAGTCTGGCATGACTTGTTTTTGAGAAACCCATGTT